CGGCACGGACACGTCAAGTCTTTCATAAGAAAAAATAAAAAAAAATAAGAAAAAATATATAAAACCCCATTTGCAAGTCCCTGGTATGCCCCAAGAACTGAGCACAGCCCTCCGCATGGCCAGCGCCTGGGGACACAGTCCAAGTGAACCAGGCCTGCTCAGCAAACGCCTTTTTCTCCCTTTAACGACCCAAAAAAGAATGCGAAGTCAACTGTATTTTGGCAAGTAACCTTTGGTTAATGAGAGCAATGCATTTCAACAGCCACGGTTTTCTCCCCCTCCCCCCCTTACTGAGTAGGATGACAGTGCTTTACAAAAAGAACATCTTTATCACTGGAGGTATTTTAGAGCCAAGTGCCATTATTCACAGCACACAACACCGGCACACCAATAGTCATCTGTAACACCCTCGACTGGGATCATGAACACACCACATCTTACTGCTTTTTGAAATATTTTACCTTTCCAGTCTCATCTTCTGCTCTCTCCTGGCCTCTCCTAGTTGCAGAGAAGACTCTTAAAATTACTGTGCTTCGCACAGGTGGTCTCTCACCTCCATAAAGCACTTGGGAGATCTTTGGATGACAGGTGCAATGTATTTAAAGTGCAAAATGCTACGTAAGAATTCAAGCTCCGTACAGGACATCACAGGTCCAATAAAGTCGCTGTGTTTGGTCTCCCTGCCTGTATCACTTTACAGCCACGGGAGTCAAACAGGAATGACAGGGATGCCAAACCTGGAACAAAGTGCAACCACTTTAATATATTTCAAATATATTCTACAAACTATTTCATATATAAAAAGCAACATGAAAAGAATTTTGCTTTTTATACATGCTCAAAACTGGGAAATACCAGAATTAAGGGTGCCTGTCCTCCTGCCAGCCACATTACCAAGTCAGAAGAACCAAATCCAACATTTTTGCCCTTAGAGTCTCACCCTAAATGTGTTTCCCAACAACCCCCTCTAAATGTCTTTTTTACTAGTGCTCTTCCAGCCCCGAGCAGCTGCCAAACTACTCAACTTCCCCAAGTGTTCCAATGGAGAACAAACGTTAACACAAAAATGCTATTTTAAAGAGTCACTATGTTGGTTTTTACATTTTTTCCTAACACATTGCCATTTCATAGCAGCAATATTGCTGTAGTTGCAATGGTCTAATCATACAGGGGATGCTTACGTCTCATCTGCAGAAGCATCAAGTCTCAAAACCCAAGACAAACACCTCTCAGATGGTGTGGAGCACCCAAACAGCTTCTCTTCCTGCAGCTCCCAGTTTGCTGCCCAACCTCTCGCCGCCGTAATGGACGGGACAGGGACACCAAGGGGACACTTTCTGGTACCTACGGTCCCGGTTTCCCACTCTCAGTACCAGCCATCTTCCACACCACGCCAACAGGGCACAGCGCACGGGCACGGCACTAGCACACGACTGCGCTGTAATGCCCGAGCACGTGGAGATTTGAAACTTTGAAGGCAATTTTAATTCTGGAATTTCTCAAACTTTTGAGTATTTTGCTTCCTAGGTTTAAAGCAAGGCCATCTGTGGCATCCTGCACTACTCATAGCGAGTTTCAGGAATGGGGGCAACAACAGAGTTGTTCAGTTTTACTAGACATATACCTCCACATAAGAGAGGGGAGTGGTGGCTCTGCTGTGGCTACGCCGAATCCCCGTGTCAGGGAGAGAGGGAACAAGCCTGCACCTCCAGTGGCTGTACCACGTGGAGATGTCCTTTGTAAGAACAGTTCATTCCACGTGTGGTACACACCCCTGGCACCCCACCAGAGAAACTGGCTCAGGAGGTTAATGATGCTCAACTGGAGCAACACACTGTTATCTGCTCATGATGAGTATAACCCACCCTCAACCTGCTTTTAAATGCCTGGTTTCGTAATGGAGGATCAAGAAAAAACAGGACACTACTACATGGATCTTTTTCTTTGCAATACTGATCTCTACAGTGAAACATTCAGAACTGCTCAACAGAGTAAAAATATGCTACATCAAAACTGTACCAGAAAAAGCAGGACCCCTGTAACAGTTTGCAGATAAAAATCAGAATTCAACAGCCAGCTTAAAAATATGCCACTGAAAACATATGAGAAAATAAACACAGTTGTCCTTTCTCTACAGTTTAGCAGACATTGGAATTAGTGCAATTCACAGACACTCATCTTCTTGCTCAATGTTGCTGCTGGCATCTCGGTGTGTTGTCTCCCCATGGAACAGAACGGGCATGGTCTCCAGTCAGACAAGCACAGGGTTACATCCCTTTGAGAGCAGGGAGAGCTGGGAGAGTGCTCAAGTGCTCACCTGAAGCAGGTCCTTGATTGGATTAAGCATTGCACTCGAACAGGATGCACGCTGCCTTCCATCTAAATTCTCATTGCAAACCTCTGCAGGAGTGAGGACATCCGCTTGGTATCAGTATGAGAAGGCTAGCGCACTTAATACTGAGAACTACGCTGCTTGTATGAGCGAGTGAATTGCTGGTCCATATAAAATACAGAAAGCTAAGACATTAGTCTGCTCTCCTGGGAAATATATATACTGTTTGGATGGCAGACAAACTACCGATGAAGACAGATTCCAAACTAAGAGCGTTTCCCAGGGAAATAATTTACAAAGTGCCACTGGTCCTTGGAACCAAATATAGTATACAGTATATGTTACAGCAAACACGAGCTCTGCGGCTTGTGTTGGCCCATCTCTGCACTATATGCAGAAGGAATCGAATGTTCAGACTCTTTACAATAGACCCCTTCCCTTTTTATACAAAGGAAAATAAAAACATAAGTTAAAACAGCAATAAATAAAACTACAGAACATATGTGTCCTGGTCAGCCCCCTTTGTGCATTCCAATCAGACTGGAGAGCTTCTCACAGTGCTCAAGTTTCAGCGATTCTGCTTTCTGTTTTAACCGCTCATCTCTGTATAGCTTGGCCAAATTGGACAAATCAGACTCTGAAAGATGAAAAAAATACAGATTAGGATGAAGCCGTGAGCCTACTTTACATAACTGTTTCTCAGTGCTTTGTTATTCTTGTGGAATGTTTTTTTTGTAAATTCACTTTGTTTCAGTGAAACTGGGCATGTTAACAACTTTTTTTAAAGAGAGGCCATCAGGTTTAACCAGGCTAGCTACTTAGGAAAACAGTATTTTCATAATTGCTTGAAAATTCAAACAGTTCTAATAACCCTCTCTACCAGTGCTCTAGTAGATCAATCACCAAAACAAAAAATAAGACTGATTATTACAGAGAAAACACAAACTATATATATGTACAGCTTAGAAGTCACATAAGATTTAAAATTGTTAATGATCTAAAGAACAGGTGATTGCTTTAAAATATATGTATATATTTAAAGTTTTTTTTGATGCTGCACTTCTCAGAACTCAAACTGTGCCTGGCAAGAGGTTTGTCCAGAAGGCATTATAAATTATTTTTTTATTTTTCTAGTATTGATTACAGGAAGGTGAACAGCTAGCTGAGGGACTTGTCTGAAAGGCCTCTGTGCCCTCTCATTAACAATACAATCTCAAAGGTACTTTGTGAATTTTTCCCCCTTCTTCTCAAAAGCAACATGAAACTGAAATACTCCCATTGTTTAAATTATTTCCCCCCAGTCATTCAGAGAAGTTTCTTTAGCTGATTAGCTAAGGAAGTCTTAATATAGCTTTCTCCCTGAAGAATAATTTAGATCCAGCATGAGATGCACCTAAGAGAATAGCAGTAATTTGTTTCTGAAAAGGTCAACATTTCCCTAAGCACAGGCTACCTGATGACACTCAATTTTTCAAAGAGCTTTTATATATATCTTACCAGTCCCTCATTTTACAAAATTGTTCAGAGTGTAAAGAACTTCAGTAGGTCCCTTCATGCCTTACATCCTCTGCCGTGTGCCACTGAAATTTAAAGCCATTTAACCCTCCACCTTTAAATCTTTACAAACTGTTAGGCATTAGCATTTTAGTTTAGATCAGAAGCCAATTTTCAGGTTTTATAACTAAAACACCACTCAGGTAGTGCTGGGCACACAGCCTTGACAAGCCTCCAGCAAAACTAGACTTGGGTAATTGTCTCCAAGTTTAGATTCCTGGAGTTCTGCAGTGAAGATTCTTAGTTTACACTTACCCACCTGGGCAAAAATATTCACTGCAAATGCTCGCACTTTTGACAGCATTCATTGTGTCATGTTGGTTTCTTATGTTTTTCAATCTTCCCTTGTACTTTTAAAGAAACTCCTAAAATACCTAATTCAAACTACTTATCCTTTTTCTCTTTGTTTTCAGTTGCCCCTCTGTAAATTTCTACAACTCGGAGCTCTTTGCAGCCCTAATTTACAATTGTGCTATCACAGCTGAACAATCTCCCGTAAAAACCCGGAATGTGCTTTTTGTACTTAACTGTATCAAAGATTTCAGAGGACCAAAGACCACAGCATATGCAACTTTTACACGCTATTCTGCTGTGAAGGGAGGAACGCTGTGTACTGCAGCAGTACAGAAGTCACTGGCTGAACAAGATACCCATCTATCTGTTCCTTTTGAAGTTTTCATTAAGGTAGTGGGACACCAGGTAACACTTTTCAAGTCATAAAATCAAGCACTTTAAAAAACAATCTGTTCCTATATAACTATGTCCATATGCTAAATAGAAATACAGCCTCAGTAAACAAAACAAATGTACTATTAATAGACATTCCACTGACAAAAAAAAAAAGTTGGCCACATGAAGAAACACTGAAACAAGAATTAATGGACCAAAGTTATGAAACAACAGCTGACTAAGAACTGTCTCAACATCTCCAGAGAACTTTTCCCCAGCACTCCATCTTGTATTCACAGTTTATTTTTACAAACTTGGCTGTACTAAAGTTAGCACAGCCTCAGCTGTGCTCATTACCTGCTCGATGGTAATCATTCTGAAAATATTGTGGGGTTGTTGGTTTTTTTTTTTTTTTAATTACAGTGGTCTCCTCAGGCTGCTGCTAATTATGCACCTTGTAAGTATATTTGCAGATGTGTGACTATTTAATAAAGCCTGTAAGTGTAAAAAGCTCCAGAGGAGCATTATTTTGCAGGCATTACTTGGCATTCAACGCTGGATCATCTCCCCCTCTCTGACTAGCAGTTTCTCTTAGACTTGTATACCCAGTTGCCCATTTTGGGGCCTGGCACTCCTTAGCTCAAGGTCTACATGGAAGAGACAACATGGCGACTTTCAGTTGCACAAGGTCAATTAAAAGGGTTTTTCTGTAAGAAATAAATGCTATCCCTATAGCAAGCCTATGCACGAAGCCTACATTTATGGTTATTAATGGCCACATTATACCTAGGGGCTGCTACTGCCAGCCACAGATGCTCAGAGATCACAAGTCAAGCACACCAAAAACTAAGGGATTGTTTGGGAATTTTATGGTCTTATATTATGGGTTATTTTCTAACTTCAGAGCCTACATCTGTATATTTCTCTTTAAAAGTAAGATAACTTTTGTTAATAACTTGTTTTTATAACTTTAAAAGTAAGATAAACTTGATAACTTTTATGTAAAATAAAATAGTCTCTGGATGAAAACAAAACAAGCTTTCCCATCAAAACTGCGAACAGTTTGGAGTCAGCAACACTATTGTTACCTCTAGCACAGGATTAAACAAGTCCTGTTTAGACAAAGTGTGTTTCCATCATGATGAAATTGGTAAAGAAACTGTAAACAAGAACAAAGTCAGTTTTTAGTGGTGTGCTGGGGACTGTTTTACATAGAGTAATTTAGAAAGCCCTACCAGTGTGTGAAAGCAGCTTGTCTGCTACTATTAAACATTTACACAGAAACAACTTCTTCCAGTTTCCTTTATGCACAACAGGAGTTTGTGTTAACTCAATTTAGGGTGATGAGTTCTTTAGCTGAAAAAAAAAAATCAGTCACTACACCCCGACTTCAGCTAGTCCTTGTAATTTGATTTCTCTTATTTGGTACAGCTACAAAAGAAGCAGGGATTTGCTCTATTTTAAACCAACCAGAAAAGCAGTAATTAACAAATAATACAACACAGAAAATACATGCCTTTATATGTGCCACTGATTGACTTAGGACTGACTTAGTGAGAATAATGATTTTGAATGCTCACATTTTTGTGTTCTCCCTTTTTGCAATCAGTTCTTGTTTTTAACAGACAATCTTGACTATGGTGAAAAACATGATCTCAAACTCATCTAAAGATAGAAAATGCAAATAAGCGCACAAAACAAGTATAGAAGCACGCTCTTTGAAAACTGATACCAGTAACAGCCCACTGCACGATTACCAAAAGCACCTGAATAGGCTACGGGCTCTCCTTCTGATGATGAAGTTTTGAAGAAAAAGTTAAACGATCTGCTCATGGACCCAGCTGAAGTAAAAATTATTCTGCTCCAGCAAAGGAAATGTGGAATAGGTAAGGTCTCAAGATCTTTTCTAGCCCTAACAATCTGTCAGAGCTAGGTAAGTGTGGTGAATTACATGTTTAAAACATCATCACTAAGAGTTATTCAAGCATAAAAACTGAGTGGAAAAAATATCTCAAAGGGTGAAGTCTACTTTCCACTTGTTTCTCAGAATCACCTAAAATTAATTTTGACAGACCCTCAAGAATAGCAAATTCAGTGTTAAGAGCAGATGTGAGAAATACCAGGGCAAGGTTTGAGATTTTATAAGCATTGGAAAATGAGGCTAAAACCAGCAGAGCTTTGTGAAGCATAGCCATCGTACAACTCCTGATGGGTTGTAGGCACACACTTGTAACAAAAATAACTTACTTTGCTGTTTCTCCTTCCAGCAGCTCGTCTGAATATAGTCTATGTAATCTTTTTCAACTGTTTTCTCTAGCTCTTGAAGTTCTGCTCCTTGATAATTCATTTCAAAGTTTTTATCAACATAGTAAGGCACCTGCAAGTTCTCTGTTTCTCTACTAATAACATGGCCTGTGGACCTGTGAAAACATCATGGAGAAAACAAATTTTTTAGCAGTTCAAAGATAAAGAAATCAAGAGATGTTTCTCCATATTAGCATTTCCAGAGGACAGTATTTACAACAGTGTCTTTACAGTTACTTTCTGCAGGACTATAGCTCCCTCAGCCACCCAATAAGGAAATTACAAGTCTCAGGCACAGCAAGCTGTGCACTACTACAAACAGAATTCACCCCCCAAAAAAATCCCCACAGGAAAATGTCTAATAATTGGAGATATCTACAAACAACTCAGAGCTGACACTGTTCCTTCCAAATACTGTATTTGTTCTCAACAGCTCAGTCAAGACACTTCCAAAACATAGGAACAAATTTTAGCTGTGAATGGAAGCTCCGCACACTTTGTTCTGTTTGCTGGTAACTTCTGGAAGGTAGGTCCAGCAATCCATGGGAACTGATGACAAATACAGAGATTATAGGAAAGGCACATGGCCCTAGTATTGCTTAGGGCATAAGGTAATTGGATATGGATTTTCCCAGTTTCTGGATCCTTTAGTAGAAATAAGAATTTTCAGGGGAGATTCTAGTTACACTTTCCTTTAGGGTTTTATAATCGTCAGTAAGTGAAGCGAGGCATGGAATATCCCAAAGAATATCCTGCAGGTAGAATTAGCCACTTTGACACAGCCACTGGATTAAATTATACTCTTACAATGAATTTCCTTATTTGAGCAAAGATACTCAGGCATTTTTTTCAAATCACTGCCCAGAGAAAGAGGCAGGCAGCCAAAACACAAAGGTTACACTCTACTCAATGGAATCCAGTTTGCCCCTTCTGTTTCCTGGACTCCTCTTTTCCATCTCTCTCACTATGTCTCAGACGTCTATGCCCTCTTTATATAAACAATTTCTTTTACTTTTTAGGCTCTTAGGTTTTTTTAAGGATATGGTTTAGAGAAACAGCATAACTGTGTACCAGGCTCAGGCTTGACTATCTCAAATCAACAGGAGAAGGGAAGGCAGTGAAGAGAAGCAGGAGAGATTAGCTGCTCTGGGGGCAGTGTGGGAGGTTTCACAGGGGACTGGCAGATAGCAAAAACACTCTCTGGAAAAAAAACCCAAAACAAACCCAAACCAAAACCAGCCACCCTCTTGTTCCTATGCTGGGTCCACACACTGACATCTTGTGGTAAAGATCGATAGAGGGTGTTGGGCTACTATGACAGGGGAGAGTATATGGGCCTAAACCCAAGTAGTTTTACTCCTAGCAGGAAGCAAGGGGAGTGTGTGGAGCACTCTGCTGCTGCTGTGTGCTGCAGGTTCTCCAAAACCAGCTGACTCCCACTCCCATCTCTGTTAAGAGCCAGTGAAGGTGACTGAACTGGTCAAGTCTTTCCCACCAGAGAGCTTCCCACCTCCCAGCACTGGATGCTGAGAGGGGTAAGTGGGTTTTTCTCTGTCCCAGAAAATCAGATTACAGCAGGTCTGGTGATGTTTCTTCTGCTTCCAGAGCTGACCAGTTCAGTTTGCCCTCTGCAACCCCAGGGTCCTGCTTCTTTGCAGATGTTAAACCAGGGCATTTCAAGGCTTTAATGATTTGTGGAGCTTGACACTTCTTCCAGTGGTATTCAGGCTCCAGAGGAGACCTGGATTTATACTGCAAACAGGGGACTTCATTTCTGAATTGCCTTACATGGGAACCTCTTGGTGGCCCATTGATCCCTGGGGGCTGGGCAGACCAGAGGCTGATCAGCAGTGTAGGTGAACTACACCCAC